CAGGTTTTTTGAATAAGAAGGAGAAAGGAGGCTCAAACCAAAACTCCTTGCTTGGTTCTGGTTTTGCAGATATTGACATTATAACTAGAAAACTGTTTTAAAACTTCAGTCTGAATTCTGAATTTCAGTAAGCATATTCTGACTAAGAGCACAGAAGGATTTTGTGTTGTGTTGATAGTTTTATGGCTCAACAAAAATAGTCATATTTTGCAAAAAGCAGTGCTGGAAGGGCAGCATATTGTTTATGGCTCAGGCTAAAGATCACTGCCATATAAGCGTGTACTTACTGGCAGAGAAGGACTGAGGGGATATGGGTACAAGGGAGTTTAACTTTAGAGTGCAGAGCAGGTCTAGCTTACATCCCACCATTGATTTCCTTTGAAGTGTTGATAGCCTTAAATTGCTGTACACAACCAATTGAGGAACACTGTGATAACATATACAACTTGCTTCTCTCTCTGCCAGACGGAAGGTTTCAGGTACCCCAGGCCTTCATCAGTGCCACCGTCACCTTCTGTCTCTCAGCATTCCAGCCCTCACCATAGCGAAGGCGAAGATGAAGATGAGGATGAAAGATATGATGAGGATGAGGAAGCTGAAAGGGATAGGCAAAACATCAAGTCTCCCTTTTCCCTTGGAGCATTGCCACAAGGGAAAAAGAAGCAGTATGGGGAATACAGGAACTGAATTCATTGCTTTCACCCTGGCAGGATCTCTCCAGCCATTCAACGGTTTCTCCTGTAGGCTTGGCAAGCTTTGTGTTAAGGACAGTGTGATATAATTAGGGGAATCTTAAATGTTACTTGAGCTACACTGTTGGAAAGCTTAATATTATTTCACCTTGCGAGTAGATTAAATGACAATTCCTCTGTGCCCCTTTGAGGTAGAAGAGATTTCTCAAGCTTAATAAACCTGGAGAATGCAACAGAGCTCTCAGGAGCTTATACAAACTGCAGATCATACCTTTGTCTACATAATCGTCTATATTAATTATAGTCTATGCTGATAGCTCCATTATGGCTGTCCCAAATGAATTCCTGCTTCATTTATGTTCCCCCTTTTCCCCTCCTAAACTAAATGAACTTTAAGCCAGAGCTCAAAAAAATTAGAGAAAAAACTGTTACACTGGGGAAACCTTGGCAGGGTTAAAAAAGATACACTGAAAAGAAAATGGTCTTTCTTTTTCCTTATGCTGTTTATTGTAAGCTTACATCATTTAAAACATTTTTTTACAACACACAGAAGTGTCTTGATCCAGTGCTAAAACATACTTCCTGTGGAACAATATAAAGTCTTATGCAGTGGGCATTTGAATTTTAGAGACAAATGAAGTCATCTTTCTGAAGTCATTTAGACCCACAATAAACAGCAGACCGTTTATTTTCTGATTCCTCTGGTATGTCTTTTTTATTGTTTTCATCTTATCTTAGATTCCAAGTTTGTTAAAAAACTAATTTGGGAGGAAATTAATGTGACTTGGCTAAAGAGAATGACAAAATTTCCTGAAGTAACACCTTCCCCTGCAGACAAATCTACATACCATAGAGCAATGTGACAACATTCAAAGATGAGTAATTGCCCCATTAGTCCATGGTCTATTTCACTTCTTCTAGAAGAGACCTAATCATAACAAATAATGCTAAAAGAATTCCAAAAACACATCTGCCCCACAGACATAATTTCAAAAAGCACCTGAAACTTCAGAGTGCTTAGGGAATAGCTGAACCTCACCATAAGAACTAGATATTTCATTTGCCTTACAGAAAGCTTTCAAAAGTGTTTCATTTCCTAGAGATGCAGAGAGTGCCTGAACATGCTCTTCAGAAGTAGATCTCGACATGAAGATATTAGGAAGGAGATTCATCTTTTTAGAAGTTTATGCATCAAAAATTTCTCATGCTATTCAAGAAAAGACATTTCCAGGAACTGATTCAGCCTGTTCTTCAGCAGGTAGGATGATGTAACCTTTGGAGGCATTTACCTTCACTGTCAATCCTAGGGGTAGCCTAGATGTCCAACTTTGATTAGGCACCTACCTTTCAAACAGTTAACCAACATTTGATGATGTGGTTCTTACTATAGGCCATATAGAATAAAAGTGATTAAGTGCCCATTCGTATTTTTGGCCACCTAAAATCAGTTTTGAAACTAGACTTTCATTCTTAAGCTGATTTGGATACCTGAAAGAATATTCTCAGAAGACAGGTTCAGGCTTTTAGGGCAAAAACTTAATTGGATTTAAAAGGAGTCACTATTTTTTAGCCATTTTAAAAGTAATTAAAACAATGAGTAGTTATTTTTCATATGAAAGTGGTGAAAGCAAAGATACTGAAAATATTTTCCTTCATACAATTTACTAAGTGGAGAACAATTACATTTTGTGAGTTCAGAAATGTATATTCTTCCTGAAAGTGCTTTTAATCGAAGTTCCCTTCCAGAATCAAAGAATGTAATGGCTGAGAGTCCCAACAGAAGAACATTTAAAGGGCACATAGATTGAAAGTTAATGTTTTCTTAAAAAAAAATAATTCAAGAAATCTGACATTATTGCTTGTGTTTCAATGCACTGTTGTACAGAAGAAAAATGTTTCACCCCAAATTCCCTGCTATCAAAATGGCATTCGTATCATCTGAGAGTTATCCAGCACTTCCTCTGTTGCCTAAAAATGTTCTAGTAGCCACAGGCTGGTGAACGTCTGTTTATCATCATTCCAGACCCAGCTTTATTGTAGTGCTGAAAGATGTGATCACTACACACGTGTTGTAAATATTCCTAAATGATGGAGGGACAGCACAGCCAATATGGAAAATGGAAAGGTTTTGCTGGGACTCCATTAGGACAATTACACCTGTTCTTTCTGGACAAGTGTCAGAGGAGAAAAATAAGCAATATGTATGATCCACGCTGCAAGTTCTTAGATGTGCTTATGGTGTTTGAGTTCCCTGGGAAGAGCAGAGCGCTGGCATGACACCTCACACAAATCCAGCTGTCTTTGTTTCAGCATGTTCACATGCTTTGAGCACCTGCCTGGTGACAGAAAGTGCACAACTTTTGAGATACAACTAATGTGATTACTGTACCTATTCTTCTCGGAAATGGTCCTGCAGCGGCCAAAGTGACCTCTGCCTCATACCTCTAGGCTTATTTTAGCTTTGCTTTGAATGCTAGCAGTAGCCAACAGTAGCAAGGCAATTTAACTACAGCGAAACATTTCTGCCTTTTGAATTTGCAGTGTTAAAGGGAATGGCTTTTCACTCAATCAAGGCGACAGATTGCCTGACTTGAAGGCCACACGTTTCTAACAGTTACTGACATCTGACAAGCTTGGTAGCAGCTATCTGTTACATAAGCGATTATCTGCCAGAATGAAAATATTGGGGTTTCACAAACAGCTCACCAACAAGGCAGAATGTTTATTTTGCTTCATGATATATGTAAAGAATTTTTTAAGCTAGTGAGCTTAGATCAGGAATAAACACAAAAATCAGTCAACTGGGAATGTGATTAGTACAGTTTTTGTATCTCTGAGACATCTAGAGGCATATGAATTTCATGACACTAATAAACCAAAGGATGTATAAGCCTTCTATGTTTTGTCTGAGCACTGACTGATCATACTGTAAAATATGCTGAAAAATAACTTAGATACACCTGAGATGTTCAGAGTAGGCTTGAAACAAAGAGCAATTAAATCAAAGAAAAATTCTGGTGGATACCATTGGTCTTCAGATGAAGTTCATCATGAATGCATTCTGTCATACAACATATACTGCTATTGAAAAAATAATAGTGCTTAAAAAGGAAGACAAGGACATTTTGATTTCTGCAGTTAAGTTCCTCCATGAAATGATATAGATTATAAATAATTACTAAAAATGCCTATAGACCCATGGTAGAAATTAATTCCTCTGTTCCTTCAGCTGCATTTCTTTGTGTCAAGGAGAAGCAACATTATAGTTAGTGTGAGTTAACAAAATTAATTAGCAGTGTCATGAGAAAGATCAGAGGAAAGTAGCATTAAAAGACAGAGAGCATGACTAGGGTTAAAGGTTAAAAAAATAAAACATAGTTGCTTGGACACAAGAATCATGTGGCTACTTTTTAATTACATGAGAATTACAGAGGGCTTTCCAGTAAGACCACGAAACTACATGAATAATGTTAAAGATATCCTTATCAGCATGGAATGATAATTAACCGATTTATGTATAATTCCAGTTTTGCAATTCAAAAACTGGGCCAACAAAGAAGTACAATAACAACACAATTAATATTCTGTGTGCCTGTTGTCATGCATGACACTAGATTTGTACCTAGTACACCACCACTACTTCCAGCAGTACTGCACCTCCTGACAACAGTAGTGACTGTATGCCATAGTCATTAATGAGGCCCTGATCCTGTAAGACCTATCCACAAACTATCCCGATGTGGTGGGACTTGCTCAGTAGGATTGTTCAGAGTATACATGTCTGCATGCGTGTAACCAGGGCAGCACTGAGGTCTAAGTAAGTGCTGTTGCCTATTCTCTGCAGTGACAGATATCTGCAAAAAAAAATCACTGGCTTTGCAGTCAAAGATAGCTGGATTGTTTCAATATCTCGCTGACTTTATTGATCATCAGAAACTTACAGGGCCAGCAGTGAAGTGGTGAAGGAATCTATCAGAAATAAAAAGGCTGGGTGGAAGGTGGTAAAAAGTTTCCCAGTGACTACTGAACATTTTTTTTAAAGAAGTAGTTGTCCAAAAAGACAGTTTCAGGTAAGATGGTACAGTGTATTTTAAATTTTGGGTGGGACATACAAAATGATCTAAACAAAGCAGGAACTTTACAAATACTTTTCTTTTCTGAACTAGTAACTTTTAATCTGTTTGCATTCAAAATTTTGCAATACGTCACCCTTTGGGAATTTAAGTGAGGATGAATGAAATACTCTGTTTACACGGGGCATGATTTCAGGGTCTATGCAATACAAATGTTAAAGAAATTGGAAATATTTCACCAATTTGATAGATTATCTGTCAAGTAGCCATGGTGATCAATGTTTTCTTCTCCAACTGTAAGACAAGACACAATGGGGAAAAATAAGCTGTAGATAAAGCTTGTAGATAAAGCTTGTAGATAAAGACTGTTTGTTCAGTCAGCCAAAGTTTTCAGGAGATAGATGTGCCTCAGACACAGGCCTAACGTAATGTAACTGCTTAGCTAAGAGATGCAGGCATCCGCAGAAATAACCATGTCTTCTCTCATTTTAAATGTAGGAATTTTTCTGTTTGCTGAAGAGCAAAGATACAAACCATGTCCAGAGGGGTATCTTAGTACAAGGCACAAATTTTTCACGCAGAAGAAAATAATGTATTTTATCTTTATTTGCACATTTCTCTCAGTCAAGAGGATTCTAAGATCACCTGAAAATGATCTTCTGAAAGTGCATGGCTTGGCTAGGTTTGACTGTTTTGTTATTCCCTACTACAATGATGGCAATGTTATTCCACATAGTATTTTCCAAACGAGCTGCCAGTTCTGCTTAGCTCTCTCAGATATGTCACCTTTTTTTCTCAGGGAGCTGTTGCTGTCCACCGTCTCCTCTGGAACAGCAACAGTAGGCAGGAAAATACCACTAAAATTTATGAATCATGATCTTCAAAGGATTTTCTCTTTTTGTTAGCATACAAATGATACTTTCACTGATTTATCTTTAGAACTGCTCATGTATTTTGTCCAAAGCATTACGCTAATTGTTAATTTTGCCTTTCTCATTCAAAATGCCACTGAATTTTTTTGGTTAAAGGATTTCTGCCAGGGTAGAGAAGAGAGAGCTGAGCACAGAGCCCCAGCACTACATGAGGTACAGTGGGAGATTTTAGGAAGTGGTGAAGACAGGAGTAGTTCCAGCATATCTACACATGCACCAGGTAAATTCTGTGAGGTGCTTCTCACACCCTTTTTTTATTCCAGGAAAGGTATGTACTTAGATATCTAAGGAGAGGTGATATTGCAGTGATGGCAAGGCAGTTATTTATTACACACTGTTAATATCTCACTTAAAACCAGACCTTTTAGAACAAGTTACTAAATTGTTAGTAAATGAAATATTCATAAACCCCATTTTAAAAAGTATGGATAAGATAAAACATGCATTTACCTTCTTCTTGTGCTTTCCATAAGGAACTAAGGAACAGTGCTGCAGCTTCAGAAAGAGATAAAGGATTTGTGTTTTGGCTGCGTGTTTCTAGAATTATAAAATCAGAGGTGCATGGTTTGTTTGTGTTTCATGGCATTTCTTTATTTTGTTCTTTGCTTTTTTATCGATATAACTAGAGACCCAAAGAGAAAAAAATACTGTTGTCTTCTTCAATCTATTACATTCTCTGCTCAGAACCAGCCTGATAAATATCTAACACAGAAGAGGTTAGTAATATTTTTTAAAAGGAGGCTATTTTGATGTCCCTTAGTAGGTAAAAAGAACATTTTCTTTTTTTATATGTTGCTTACTTTGCTACAACATTCTGTTTCCTGCAGAAACATTAACTAGCATGGTTTAATGTTGCCTACTTTTGTCATTTGTCAGTTTGGCACAATTAATAACTTTATTTGATTTTTTCCAGTGGAAAAACAAAGTCAAAAGTACTGATGATAATCCCACTTAACAGGCAGGTCAGTCTGGAACTGATGTAAATGAAGTCACACAGGTGCACAAGAGAGGAAAGTCAGACAGTCTTTATCATGTGCTTTCTGGAATTAAAGAACTAACAAAAGGAAGTTTAATTGCTTCCTTGACTATGATTCTGGGAAAATAGATCCCCTCCAGTCTCCAATCTGAGGAAAGTTTGATGTGTTGCATACACATGTGCACATGTACTTACCAAGTTGCATTCTGTCATACAGATCCTTTCGCTGGCTCTCATCTGAGATGAATCGACGTCCCTCTACAAAAGCAGTGGGAAAAGGGTGAAAACAACCTCCCAAATCTATTGTAATTCCTACTTTACAATCCCTAAAGTAGTCTTTTCAAAATACAAAATTACAGCATTACTTCTACAAACTTAAAATGAGAGGCATAAATCCATCCCATGGTCTTTCCAAATCAGCAATAGCCCATCCTGAACCGGAACATGCCAAGACATACTTTATTCCATAGAACTGGTGTTTCAGTACTTTTTGTTCTTGTCTTGCTGTAGGAATTGTATGTAGGGAGGAATTTACTGTCTTTTCCTCACTCTTTCCTCACCTGCTGTACAGTCAAGAGCCTTCAATCTCTTTGCTGGACTATAAAATATTGCCTTTTAAAGAGATATTTCTGTTTAAAAAATTTTTTAAAAAGCTAAACAATAAAATCACTTTACCTCCTATGCATCAATAAGAATGATACACAGGTTGGTACCGAAGTAACACAGTGCATTATTCAGTCGGAAGAATTAAACGAAACAAAAAAGGGCCAAATTCTTTGCTTTTATGACTAGAAAGAATTTTATTAATGTCACTAGAACTTCTTTCAGTTACACTTACAGTTGTTTAGAGCCTATATTTATTTTGTGTTGTTATTATTTGTATTGTCTCCCTTTTGCATTTCTCTCAGGGTTGTGAGCTTCAATTTATTTATTTATTTGTTTCAAGGAAGCTATTTTTCTTGCTCTCTTAATACTGACCCTACCTGATAGCTTTTAATTTTGAAACAAGAATTCAGAATAGAATTTTTAAAAATACAAATACTTCTGTTAAATTTCATGGGTTTGCATCAAAGGACAAAATCTCTCTTTGGCTCTAAATTTTATGTTTATATTTAATACTTCTTTAATTCTGGACTAACAATAGAAACTCAAAAAGTCATTTGCACCTTAACACCACCATATTGATAACACTGACATCCAAGTTCTCCTTAGAAGAGGTTGTTTGTAGTCTTAATACCAACTCTAATGCAAGATGCTTGTAATAGGAATGTGTGTTCTCCTATTGCTTCAGAAGATGTTTTAATAACCGTGAGTAAGAATAAGAAATAACTATATCCAATATGTCTTAAACCCCCTTTAAGATTATTTCAGATAAGGAAACTGCTTTTCCAATTGGTTTTACAATCAAGCTTGAAACTCTATTTTCAGCTTCAACTTCTACATTTTCAGCACTTTGCTTTGCTTTTGTTCTTCCAACACTTGCTTTCTTCAATTTGATTTCTTTAAATATAATACTGGCAATGCCATTGTTTCAGAGACAAGAAAAAATAACTAATTAGCACATCCCTGCAGGCCTCAGAATTTCTACCTCCACAGCATCCTCAGGCATTTACTGCTTGTGTGGAGCCAAGCAGATCAGGAATAATCCAGTCCCCTCAAAACAGAAAGAACTTGGGACTTACGTGCACCCTTCAAATAGAGCATAGCCTGAGGAGTCCAGTTTCTCCTTTGGAAATGAGCCTTTATGCCAAAAAAGAGAAAAGAAACATGTCAACATTGCATGCCATTACTAACTAGCAGAAATACTTAAACAGCACCAACCTGTGAGATTCATGGATGCTGCACATTCAGCCTGAGCGAGCAGTTTACCTGAGGTGCACTCCAGGAGAAAGATACGAAGCACGCTGCCAGGAACAGAGCCATTGCAGATGCTGTCAGTTTATGCAGTCCCTGTGAATAACAAAGAACCACAAGGTACAGGAAAAGCCTTTCAGATCTGTAGATACTCTTAACTTCAAATCTAAATGTGAGGGTATTTCCAGTCACTCCTTTCTCCCTGTCTTGGTGCCAAACCTCCTCTTGCACAGTGTATATATATGAGTGAATGTTAGATCAAACATACTTTGTTCTGTTTACTCATATTCATTATAAAGGTTCCATACTGGTGAGAACTGCCATCAAGGAAGCACCTCTTGTGCTCCTGTTTACAAGAATATTAGATCCTCCAGAAATGAGAATAATGCACAAACTAAGGGGGCAAGACTATATAAAGTATATCTTGATTTTACCAAACCTGGAGTCATACAGTTTAGACAACAAACAAATGTAGGCGACTTACCATTCCAAACAAACCAACCAACCAACCAGGAGAGCGAATCACTACTTCCTCAGGAAAAGAAAGTTTTTAAACTTAGCATCCTATTTGCATCAACCATGATTACATACATGTCACGAGACAGACTTTTATGATTCTTAGAGTTTGTTCGCTGATGCAGCACATGCAAATGAAAGCATTGAGCATGAATCCTCTGCGAACAAGTTGCATCTCTGCTTGTTCGCACAGATCATGTTGTTACTCCTGTACTGATAACAGTGATGGCAACAGAGAGCATCTAACATTACAATTCACAGAGGTTTATTTAATCCTGTTCTTGAGATCACATTGTGCTATTTAATGTTTTTTTAATGCAGTTGTTTCAAGCACACTGAATATAACAGTGTATTTTTCTCTCAGGTTGTTTTTAAGTTAAAATTATTAAGCCTCCCTGCAGTTCCTAAATACTATACTCATATGAAAAAGCATAAAATGCAAACTAAATGTTTCCCACACACCAAAAGAGACTCACTCACCTTCATACTTAGTTCAGTGGCAAATCTTCAGTCTTCTTTTCTTGGAATAATGTGTCACAAGTTCTCCTACAGATTTGGGGATCCCTTTTTAAATCTTCGGAGTGAAGACACCCTCCCCTTCTGTGGCAGGGCGGAGGAGTCTAAAGGGATCTCTTGTCAGCCCTGTAGATGGAGAAGTAGAAGGTCTGATGAGTCCTGAGGGAAACCTGTAGCCTTGCAGGAAGTCAGAGAAATGATTGAAAGATGGATACACTTGGAGATGCACCCCATTAGCCAGGTGAATACCTCTTGAATACATCAGCATCAGCCTTGTGCATTTGCAATACGTCACCTTCTTGCTAGATGATCGATAACCACAGCTAGAAGCAGGTATTAATATGGATGATGAGTGTTTACCTAGGATAATCTAACATATATCACATTGCTATCCATTATGGGAGCTGGAAAAGTTAGTAAATTACTCTCCAGTCATAACACGCCAACATCAAAAAAAAGGTAGCTTATCCAGTGTCGCTAGCTTGATGTTATTCCTAGCATATGTTTAGAGGATGCAGCCTCTTGTTTGATTCTCTAATGATCTCTTGCATCTAGTTTTCTTACACACAAGTAAAAATACAAAGCTGAATAAAAAAAACACCAAAAAACACCCCAACCCCTAATAGTCAGAAACCCTTTTCTGTCTCATGGATTGGTTGGAGTAAAAGCCCAGATCGTGGGCTTGAATAGGTCAAGCTACTTCTAAGTGATTGTTGGACTCATTGCAGTCATGGATAGTGGGTTTGGTCCTCAGGCAAAGAGCTAAGCATGCTTGATGCCAAGCCTTGCTGGTTCTGTAGCTAGGGTTTTTCTCTCTCCTCCTTGATTTTTTTTTTCCTTTGTAAAATGGGAGAGGAAGCAGAAGGGAAAGCAAAGCAAACAAGGAGCTAGAAATTTGCTGATTAGAATATTGGCCAATAGAAAGTTTGCTGCAGCAGCCTCACAAACAGAACCAGCCTGTGGTGTAACAAAAATACAGGTTAGCCCATATGTGTGACAAACATATGCTCGTGTATGTGGAGTCTAAGTGAAAAGTGCGCAAATAGGCACTTCTAGGGCTTGTTATGAGCTTTTCCCTGACATAATGTGTCTGTGGAGACTGCTCTGAAGCACACAGTTGGTAAACGTGCAATTACTCTCCTGCTTTGGGGAGGATATTGCTCTGTTCTTGGCTCCTGCCAGACAGAATTATTCATCGAATACACAGAACTGGCATTAGCTGCAGCTCGCACTGGTATAGATGCAAGAAATGAGAGGGAAGCTCAGGTTTTGGCCTCATGCATCTCTTATGATGTCTGGGAGCTGCTATTATACCTCTATCCTTTTAAAAAGGCCATGCCATGATGCACCCTAGCCAGCAGAAGGGATTCTACTTGCATCTACTTCAATGTGAAGTTTACATTTTCCCTGCTGTTTCCCTCTTGCTCTGACAGATCAGAGACATTTCTTGATGATGTTTAACCCTTAGCCTTAGAAGGGGACTGTGCATTGCATCCAGGAGATATTTAACAAGCAGAGATTTGGAAAAGATAAAGCTACTCACCTGTTCCTTTCCGAAGTGACTTCAGAGCTTCTCTTTATGCACAGACCACAAGGCCAGAATTAAAACCTGTGACTGAATCTGTGAAAATTAACCCCCTGCCTCTGGTATTGGTCAATGTAAAGTATATTCTCTTTACAATGGTTCTTCTTGTGGTAGAAAAAACAGAATGTGTTTGGCACTGAAAATAAGCCCTGGTTCTCCTGCTGCTGAAATGAGACAAGTTAACACAGAACAAACTGTGAAGACAACCGTTCAACCTCTTCTGTTGGAACTGAGGAGAAGGGGAAGAGCAAGGGAGCCATGGAGAAAGATTTATGTTGTTAATCCACTGTAGAAAGACAACTTCTACTTTTCTTATCTTTTGACTACTTTGCAAAGTCTGAGCTGCTCTGAGCTGATGTTGCTGGAGTCTCACTCTCTCTTCCAAACCTGGCTGTATTGCCAGAGTCCCACTTGCCTCCTTGTAGAGACTGGGGCTTGTTTGAGGCTGCCTGGAGGGTAGCAGGGAGCTGAACCATACAGGTCAAAATCTGAACTGGCTTATTGTGGGGTCAGGTGACCATCAGCTCAAAAGCAAATACAGGGCCTTGATAGCATCCTCTTAAATTAAATGGTTTTAACGCTCTACCATCAGACGTCTGAATGGCACTGAGGTGTCTAAAAGTGAAGTGTTTAGTTTCAATCAGTAGCAAGAGACAGGCTACCTTGCCCAAACAACATCCAGGGCACCTGAGACATGCACATGGGACTGCCAGCTGTAACACAGGACCTGCAAGAGACCCAAGACTTGTGGAGAAGCAGCTGAAGGGCAGGAAGGATTCCTAGGACACCTAAAATGCCAGTAATTGCTTTTGACTAGGAACTGAATCACTTCTAGAGAGTGGAGAGAAACAGGATTTCAAAAAGCACCCTCTGGCCACAGAGTGTAAAGCATTAAGAGAGGAGGACTGAATTCCTCTCTGGAGTTGTCCGTGTCTCTTCCTTGGCTTCAGACAGCATTTTACACGGACAACATCAGGTGAAATGAACCCAATCCCAAATCAAATTTCCATAATGTTTTTTTTTTTTTCTAAAAGGATTTTATTCTTCCCTTAAATTCTCTGTGCCTTTGTTACTTAGAGCCCTAAATCAATTTATTTTTACTATGGCAAGCGATTCTAAGTTGCTTTGCTGTTTAAAAAAAAAAAAATATTTCAAAACCACTTCCCTGGAAATCTGCAAGAAGTCTGCATGCAGAACAAAGAACTCGAGGTTTGTCAATTTTACGTTAGAGATTAAAATTTAAAAGATTCTTCTTCTCCCTTCATAGCTCTTTCTTGTCATGATCCTATGAGAAGGTGGTCATCTCACTCTTCCCAGAAATCTAACCACTTCTAGGATGGCATATGGAACAGGATTTATTTGCAAACAGCGACAGGAGGCAATACTTTGGGAAGGAAATGTGTGTACTGAGATTGCTTGCATTCACAAAAAAACATGTGGATGGGTATGGGCATATGTAAGCTTGTACTCTTGAAAAATAAAGTCACCTATAATTGGGTTATGGATCATAACACACTAAAAAACTACAGAACTTCAGGATGATGAGCTATAGATGAAACACTCGTCGTCAATGCTGCCATTTCTCAGCTGATTCACATAAATGAGGAAGTGGCTTTGGCATGTAATCAATACTCTAAGTGAGGGAAGTAGAGTGAAACTTGCTATAGCAGCAGGACCCCTTATTAGAAAGAACATAACCTATTCTTATTCTTAAAGATGATCTAAAGGGCAGAGACTGCTTATCCTGACACTCTAAATGATAAAAAGCCAATTTTGGGGATGGAAGTTCAGTGCTGAGGTGGGTGAAGAAGTTCTCATGTGGTGGAGTTTTAACTAGTGGGGTTAAACCTACCTCACTGACTTGCGTCACAACCGTGTACTTTCCCTTTTCTAAAATTATAGGCTACAGTCATTGTGCCTATTTTTAAACTGCTGGTAAGGACACCAGTGATTCGTTGCTTGCTCTTGAGTAAAAGGTGTAGCTGTTGTGTGTAGGTGGCCAGTAAGTACGTCAGCAAATATGGGATTCTGATGGTGTCAGGGTATAAACCTCCTGAGATTTATGACCTTTGTCTCTTGTGCTTATTCTTATTGCCTTTGTGCTTTCCTGCTAGTTTGTTAACTCTTTGGGAAATACATCTCACCTCTGTCTGGCATCTGAACAGCACCCACCACAGTGTAGGTCTGGTAGTACATACTGGCCATAGCATCTTAAAAAGCTGTGAATTATCATGGCAGAGTCTGCAAAGTAGGAAATTGCAAAGAAAGAATTTTATGTTTAATTTGCAGTAAGGGTATTTAAGTTAGATAATAAGGCAAGTTTCTAACAGCAGCACAGTGAAATATAAATAGAATGCTTTGGAGGGCTGCGTATCTGTTATCACTGAGAAGATCAGAGAATAGATTAGCCAACCCCTTCTTAGGACCCGTTGGTAAACTGATCCTGCCCAGAAGCATGGTGATGAACTGTATGACCTCTTAACATCTCCTTTTGGACCTGTTTCTTGTGTTTCTGTGATCTCTCAAAGCTGGCTCTGGACTTTAACTCCATACATCCCACTCAGACTAGGGGGAAATTTGTGTCCAAGTTCCATATTCACCTTGCAAAACCTGTTGACTGAGCAAATCTTATCTGCAATCCATCAGTACATTTTATGTTAGCCATTTTATGTCACACGAACATGTTTTTCAGTATTATTTTTCAGAATAGTCCCTAACTTATGGAATCATAGAATAGTTTGGGTTGGAAGGGACCTTTAAAGGTCATCTAGTCCAGCCCCTCCTGCAATGAGCAGAGACATCTTCAACTTCTCTGGAAAGTTGTATTTTCATGGTGCAGCTCTGAAGGGAAGAGATGGTCTCCGATGTAAACCAGGTGCATGATTACAGAGGCCATTATTTACTGACCTAACCACTTTGTTGCACATTCAGCACCATAATGTCTGCAGGCCTGATTCCAGCACTATTGCATAGTTACTAGAGTTGCTTTTCTTCTTTTCTCTAGACTGTATGAGAAGAACTGCACTAAAAACTACTTGAGGTACAGAACAAGCTGCAGAAAAGCCAGTCTGCTGTGGATCATGTAAATGCCTCATACAACAGAGGTAACAGAGCCTTTGTTGAGGATGACAGTATGATCAATGCTACATTCAGGTCCAGGCACTACTGTTCTCAGAAGTGTCTTGATGAAAAAGAAGAAACTTCAAGGGATAATTATAAGTAAAAGTAAAAGTTATATGTCTTATGTGGGGCGAGGGATGTTTACAAGTATCAGGAAAGAGTAGAAATCTACAAATATTTGAAAGATATAAACATCACAGGAAGAGGTATTACTTCTGAAGTTCAGTGAACCATAGGACGGTACAGTATTTTTTTTCGGAAATGG